TTTTTATCGAATCATTTATCAGACTTCAGACAAAATGCCTAAAGAAGGGATTCCTCGTAACATAAGTGTATAAAAAATTCTTTGATATTTTCGACATAACTTTCGTAATAAAATATTACTAAAAATAATTTATAAAACCTCCTGTTACATGACGAAGAAGCTTTGGACGCAAGATTACATACATGAGATCTTAACTGATAAAATGACACATTAGTTAGGATTAATGTCACGACAAGATCATGAATTTAATCCTCCTGCATTATAGTGTGAAATCTTTGCTTGGAATTAATGATGTATGACAGCTTGTATTAAAATCAAATTCAAAAGCCTTATAAGATTTAACCCTCTTCACTCATGGCACTAGTATGGTTCAAAAATTATGATCTTCTTTGCTTGGTGTGTAGAAAATATCCCCAAGAGTATCACAGATTTCGGTATAAATATATTATATGCTAAATCCAGATGGCTCTAAGGTGATTGCAAGATTCTTTGTCATAACTTTATAGAGAATTTAGTAAGGTTAGAAATATAATACCATGCCATCTTATTAGCGATTATTAGGAATACATCTTTTTCATAAAAATCTTTACCCGTCTTCATCTTCGCAACCGTTGGACGTAAACATATTTCTCCCATTACAAAAGTGTTTTAAATGGCACAAATGTTTACGTTTTGATATTTTTATATTAAAAGAATTAGTCTGTAAAAATAAGAAAATCTAACTTATAAACATGCTTGTGATCCTTATATTAATATTTAGGAAAATTTTGCACTCATTATGAAAAATAAAATACGAAACGTGTGTGTGAAATTTAAATCTTATGAATAACCCATATGACGAAAATTGACTGAAATTCAAGTTTAAAACTGGACATTGTATTCAGCGGCCGTACACAAATTTAAAAACGAAATGATTACATTGCACATAACTGAAAATACAATGTTAGTTTAGCAAACGAGTTCATAAATTAGTCTGCAAAAATTAAAAGCCAGGTGAGGTATTTTGTGAACAGTTCACATAAGGTATCCCATGATCACAAAAAATTCAGCTAAAGATATTTCTTTACTGGTAGGACATTTTTGTCTCTGAAAATAATTAGATGCTCCAGTATGGTTGCGTATGAATACAGGCATGATTTACAGAATAAATAGCATTTAATTATATTGATATTTTCCTTTTTAAGACTTTATTCACGACTTGAAGAGTGTATATTGGAACGAACCGAGTAAACAAATAAATTTGTAAACTAGACTAGAAGAGAAACACGCTAATGTGACAATTCAAATCGTAAAAACAAATAGTTTTCTTCTTTCTAGGTATTTCTTTCTTCTGATGAGGAGGGACCTTTAGCTGCCCTCGAAATCGATTGAGTGTTTCAATATACTTACGCTAAATACAATTGTTGGTTTTACGATTCTAAATACAAGGTTGGTTTTACGATTTTGAAATTTGTAAACGTTTGCATTATAATGAAAACAAATTCTCTATTATTTTGAAGCAAGCATCACACCGTAACTTCTTCAGTGTTGGCAATGTTTTTAAATAATTTACTTATCAGTTCAGCGCTTTCAAAGGCAAACAAGTCTGCTGAGGAAAAATATCAATGGGCTTTGACAATTAGGAGGTTTTTTTATCTACAATATTGCATTTCTAGGCTTAAGGTTTGAAGGTTAGAAATGAATATGTGGAGGAATTGCTAGACCATAAAAATGAACTCAACAACAAAAATCTACAACAGCATCATAAATAGCAACCAAAGATGACTGTGAAAGATATGCCTTTAAGATGAAGAAAGAAAAGCTAACCGTAATTTTTTAACTCGTGAAATATTTTAAATAAAGAATCCTCTTTTTCAGCTGTAGAAATGCAATATTTATATTATTTTATGTCATAACTTGTTTTCATTTTTCACGGCAAATGGTGCCAGTAACTTGACTTCCTTTCTCACATTGTTAAAACCTGAACGCAGGCTTCTCGCTTGACATTTGTACTTATGCAGCTGAAGGAGGAGGCTCTACAGGAACAGGGACGGAGCACCAGAACTTCGTCAGTGACTTTTACAGGTATTGCTCCGCCGCATTAATGTACCCGCTGGGCGTACGGTTGGCCCGCATCAGAAGCCAGCCTAACAAGATATTTGCAGAGATACTCTACATTAATTCTAGACTTTCGTATTGAATATATGATTACAATAACTCGGTACGCAATTATTACAACGAACTTAATCGATTAACAAAAGTTGGGTTATGACAGGTTAATATAACATAATTACTTCGAACATACATTAATACGTCATACAAACAATGCATTTACATTAGTATATCTAATTACATTAAACATTTTTTAAGTAACTCATTATTGTAAAATATTAAGTGCATCTCCTAGTACATTTGTCGTATTCCTAAGGCAATTATCTTTTTTTGTACATTTCCTTTCATTTTTATCATGTTACAGACAATTGCAATATTTCTGAAATCTTACATTGTTTTTGCAAATTAATATATCATAATTACATCAAACATATATTAGTACATTACATAACATTTACATTTACATTAATATATATAATTACCTCAAATTATATTAAATTATTTTTAAAAATTTTTAACCATTTAATTATTGCAAGATTTTTTTTCCAATCTCCTAGTACAGTGACATATTCGTAATGTAATTATTTCGTTGAAACACTTCCTACCATATTCAGCATGTTTTAGGCTTTTGCCACATTTCTGAAATCTTGCATTATTTTTGTAAATTGTGGAATATATCATATTTATACAGGCATGATAGCGTCTTGACATATGCCTTCTCTTTTATGTGAAAAAAGTTTCTTCATAATCAAGGAAATCTTATGTTGTAATTGAGGGATGGTTAGTAAGCATTTCATGTACTCAGGCGTAATTTGTGTCCTTTCTTTGCAGTGTAGCTCTTTTGTGAACTGGTACTTGAAAATAAAGTACTCTATGTCTCCTTTTCCCCACATACGCACTTGTCTGAATCGTTCAAATTTCGTGCAAAGTAGTACGTCGACAAAGGACCATGTCCAGATAAAAAGGTGTTGATAGAGGTTCTACATTTAAACCTTCGAAACTAGTCCTGCAACATTATGAAATATTACGCTGATTTTTGTTGCCTTAACATCTCCAATAATCGTTATTCGGCGTGTCATTTAAACTCAAACATTGTCAATTAATAAATTATACCGATCAATTGCAACAATTTGCATAAATATGCTTCTCATGTAATCTCTTAAAATAATAAACCTTTTCCTACAAAGATATTTTATTTTTAGTTTACAAATGCAAATATTTCACTTCAGTTTGCATACGGCCTTTGAATATGACTTCGAACTTTAAATATTTGGGAGAATGTTCTTCGTACGTTTTAGCCCCAAAAGGGCTATTAGTCTTGAAACATGATTTTGCTTTGATTCACTTTTCATTCGACTCTGTTTTGCCATTTGGAAAAATGTAATATATTATTCTTTCGTATTTAATCAGTCTGTTATTAACCCTTTGGCCTATAACCACGAGTTTGACTCGTGGTAAAGAATTTGTGCCATAAACAAAAGCCACGAGTCTGACTCGTGGTAAAGAATTTGTGTTATAAACAAAAGCCACGAGTCTACTCGTGGTGAGGAACTTATGCATAAAATGTCTCGTATTATTATTAGAACAAGTTATCCTACATCGGTTATTTTCCTTTGATTGTAACGACAGTATTTTGTTTTTTTCAGTTGTTTTTGACGAAACTGGATGATCTGTTACTTTAGTTGCCCGTAAAGCTCCGTTACGTTCACACGTTTCAAATATAATTTCGTATAAAGCATTAAAAACCGCTTATACCCATCATGCAATTATTTTTGTCAACTGATCAATTGATTATGATTACACCCTAGACGTCTTAAAATTACTGTTTGTACCAAAATATTGTTTATTATTTCACAATTCCTTTCGTTACACTGAAATATATATGTCATGAAAAGTTTACATTTCGCGCCAGTTCGGGTACACGGCTGAACAGTTGAATGCCACGGCGCGCGACCGATTTTCTTGTTTACTATAGCTCGCGCAATTGGCAGATATCGTGTAGGCCAAGGGGTTAATTAACCATTTCAACTACTTAAAAGCAATAGATGCAGTTCTTAAAATTATTAGTCTTTTACATTTTAATCTGATTTATTTAAATAAAAATGCATTTAGTTCGTGATATATCGCATAAAAACATTGAATATTTTAATTGAAATCTTAATGTAATTATTTTGTTAAAACACTTCCTACCATATTTAACCTGTTTTAGGCATTTGCCACATTTCTGAAATCTTGAAATATTTTTGTAAGTTGTGGAATATCAGGTATTTATACATTGAATACCCATTTTTATTATTAATGTTATGTTACCTATTTTTCACTTTTCAAACATACAGAAGTTATACAACGTTCCTATTTTAGTCTAAATATCTATTTTTCTAATATCCTATAAACTGTTTCGATGTTTCTCTTAGGTCATTTCTATCGGTAATCCTCACTGATAAGACATACTGAATTTTAAAAGAGCTCTTTATAGTAACATCTGTAAAATTTAAAGCATTTCAGATTTTAGTGTTTTTTATTCTTATTTGTAAGTTTTATTTTTTATAATGAGAGCAGAATTTTCATAAATATACATTAAAGGACAGAAGGAGTGTATAAGAAATTAGATTCCGTACTTTTTTACAAAAACGATTTTTTTATTTAATTTTAAAATGCCAAATTGTGAATATTTGTGGCATTCGAAGCATTTTTACAATTAGAAGTTTATGTCTACGACAAACTGCGAAAATAAAGATCGGGTAAGGAATTTTGTGCACATGGTGTGTATTAAATAAAATGTTCTATTGCACAATTCTTTTTAAAACCAAAGACTAAACAAAAATATCCCATTAAAATATTACGAAATTACACGGTGTCTTCGAAGTCTTTATAAGTGTATATTAAGAATTCATGAAAGTACTACTTACCAGCGCTGTTCCTGTCCAAATAAATTAGCATCTCCAGAGGAGTTCCTGGCTGGACATTGAGTGTTGTATCCAAGATTTTACCGTGCTGTCTAACTGCCAAGTTTAGAAAGGGCACTGGCGCTCTCGCTACGATGTAATCTGTGATGTTGATATAGCTGTAAAATAAGGAATTTTAAATTACTCATATATGTAAATTTATACTTATTACAGGATATTTTTATGATGAGATATTATAATTTTTAAAGCAATGCCCTTAAATTAATAATAAGTGTTCTTAATTAAAGCTTATTACAAGAATATTAATAAATTTATACTTATTACAACTCGTGTTTTTAAAATTTCTCTATCTTAATTTATGCATATTATATTACATTATATTATAACAAGATGTAATCTGAACAGTGTATTAAAATCAATAGAGCAGAATTTATTACTGGTTAATTATTATAGAAGATAGTTAATTTTGATAAATCTCTAATAATAGGAAGGTAATGTATTACAGAAAGTTTCGAAACCTGTTTTAATTATAAACACAATAATTCTTGTTATTATAATATTATTATAATTAAGTAATTATTGTAATTAACTACAGGTAATAGTGTTACAGATGATTTTTTATAAATGTGAAAAGTAGATTAATTATTGCAGGACATTATTATTAATTTCAAAACAGTAATTATTAGTTGCAAATAATTAGTGTTAAATTAATAATTATTATTATTAATTACTTTTATTACAGCAATAAATTTATACTTATAATTTGGCTTGTTTTAAAAATTATTCCTAAAAGAAAACATTTATAATTATTCCTGCGTTGTATTTTTACTTTATTTTTTTTGTATTACTTAAGTAACTAAATTAGTTTGTTTCGCGTAACTATATGTTTATTTATATAGCTGATCACTGCCTAACTAAGAAGCTGTATAAAATAGTTGACCACTGCCTAACTAAGAAGTTATCAGCTATTTCATCATAGTTAGAGATATATCCGAAACAACAGACCATACATACATACATATATACGTACAGTATACATACGTACGAAAAAATGTTACGAATAAAAAGATGTTACAAAAAATCTCTTTTGAATATATTTTAAATCCTTTTTGCAACCCCTTTCGGTAAAAAAGTCCTTTATTGTGTCCTTACGTACAGATGTCACGCAAAAACATCGTTAAATTGCATTCAATAGAGGTCAAAATGGATAATTTCATTGAAATACGATACTGGAAAATTTTTTGCGATTACAATACTTCATTTACTTCATACTAGCGAAGTAAAAAACTAGGCAATAGATGCAGTTCTTAAGAATACCAGTTTTTTCCTTTTCTATCTGATTGATTGAAATAAAAATTTATTTAATTCATGATACTGCACAATTGTTCACTCTTTAAATATACAGAAGATGTAGAGAATGAAATGTTAGTCTAATTGCATATCCATTCTAAATTTCACCATTCTACCTGGGCCATTACTATCTATAATTTCTACTGATGCACTATATTAATTTTTAAAATGATCCTTTTGTGCGATCGCTAAAATCTGGACCTTTCCAGATTTTTTTTTTTTTTGTACTCTTTTATTTGATATTTTTCGCATAATTCATTTTTGCAATATTTTTCAGTTTCTTTAAATTCATTCATCATTTAAATCCATATCCTCTAGTTTAAAAGATTCCAACTTTTTAAATTTTTATAAAAGGCTTTTTAATTAATTTTGGTTTTATTTTCTTAGTTTCTCCTTTTTTGGAAAACGAAACAAAACAACATCGGGAATGAAAGTTTAAAGTGTACTTCATTTTATAAATCATGATTTATTTTCTATCCAATTAACAAAACATATCGAGACCATCTAGTAAATATCATTACACAGTTGCGAAAAATCTGTAGCTAATGTATCTTGCGCAGATAATAACTGTGAGTTCAATATACATTTCTTATTCAAATATCATTTTTATAAAGACTTAATTTCAGCCCAACGACATAAGAAATTCCCGAAACGCATATTAACCATTAAGATTAGACGTTGAGGATATTAGTGCCATCCCCTTAGTGGCTGTTAACATCTTCTCTGAGAACTCACTGCAATTTATTCGTCAAAAATAACCCACCGCCTGCTACCACACACGGCAAACAAAATAACAAACTAATTTCAGGCTTATCGGATGCAATCCCTCAGACTTCCAGAGCATGGGAATTTCTTTTTTCATTCAGAACTCTAGCTCATTAGAGTGGTGAGTGCATCACGGCAGAAGAATTCACAAGCTTCGCGAAAAGAACGTTGCAAAATGTTCCATGGTGGCATTTTTGTAGCCTTAAATACCCCCTTTTGTTGATACACATACGGGATCTTTCATGGAAGTAAATTAAACTACTTAGCATAAAAATGCAAGTATATCATCATTATCATCCTAAGAATGAAGTGTCAGGCATATTTTTAAAAACTAAGGCTATTTCTGAAAGAGGAGAGTTAAAGAAATGGGTAAAGTCTTGGGAAATATTTTAGTAGGGGCAAAATGGTTGTTTGATGTTCCGAAGGTGCATATTCCAGTGTTAAAATGTTTCTCCAGAGTCCTATATAAATCTGAAGATAATGTTTTGTACCATTGTGTTATTATATATCATTTAAGAGTTTACTAAGAGGGTTGAAAAACTAATATTTTAATTTCTTCCCAATGCAAATTCGTTATAATTGATATGTATGCTTATTTTAAAATAAAATAATTTATTAATTATAATACATTTATTGTAATCTACTGTAATAATAAAGAAGAGTGTCCATGTGTTTGTCTTTCATACAAATCTACAGTTTTATTCCGATCTTAAAGAAATTTAACACACCTGATCTTCAAGGAAAGTTCATTGCCTACATAAAATTTCTCAAAAACCACCCCATGGTGCCGCCATTCTTTATATATGTTACAAGCAATGTACGAAATGCCGACATTCTCCAGAATATGTAGGCATTTTACAGAATGCCCGATATTTTTTATGTAAGGTATCAAGTTATAAGGTATTTCTCCCGCCTTGTTAGCGTGCCTTTCTGGTGCAGTGGTTTGCACGCTGGACGCGTATTACAGAAGTTCGTGGTTCAATTCCAGGTGAAGGCATTGCTCATTTTTCATCTTTCCTGCTTTCAAAATACCTAATGTCTCTACAGTGGGGCCCGAACTAAAAGGGTGGTGGATGATGATTCCAAAATACCTAATGTCTCTACAAAGTGTGAGAATTATTATATACTTTGACTAGGCATTGTATAAAATACCTAGGCATTTTGTTAGATTGGCCAATGCTATTTAGGCAAACTATGTAAACATGTTATGATAAGGTGTGCATTCCTCAAAAGTATAAATGTTACTTTGAACAAATATTGAGACTGCATTAAAACTTTTATTCGAAGTAACGTAAAGAAAGATGAAATCTGTACAAAACAAAATTTATGCCTTTCTTATTAAAGAAAGCAGTGTTTGAAAGTGTATGGAATGAATGTATTAAATGTGCGGATTATGGATTATGTATGAACGTATTAAATGGGTGGAAATGCAAAACGAATCGAAGATGCATTTCATACTTTGCCAGTCTCTCAGTAGGCATTCTACAGGATGCTTAAAAATGTAATAATGATAATGGTTTCATATATTGTTGGCCAGATTTGGGCATTCGCCTGACATCTGGACACTCTATATATTTATTGTTGGAAGCGTATGGGTTCGTAACAGATTGAATGTTCACAGCTCCGTTGATAGATTGATAAATTTATTTTATCGAGAGAAACACTTCAGAGATCTGGAACTTTTCACAAAAATAGTTGTATAACTCTTCACAATATCACAGAGTGCAATAAGTACTTACACTTCAGACTACTATGAATGTTAAACACAATGCAATGCAAAGCTCAGCTAAACAGAGAAGCGAAACCGGAGATAGTACTGGGAATTCACGCCGAGCTAACAACAACAACTAGTGAGGCCAGATGTTCTCACCGGCCTTACATAGTTTTCACCCGCCCGCCTAGATATTTCTATTACTTTCTGCTTCTCGAAGCTACTGGATGAGGTTGGAATTACTGTTACAGCTAATATAGTGATCAATCACATTTATTCAATTACAATACGTACTACAGTGATACAGGGATCGGACCAAAGTGTCGCCAAATGGTCGCCAAGTTTAGCGACTTTAGGTGATTTCTCGCCAAATTTGGAGATAAAATTTAGCCTCCAAAACCGTTGCAAATCTCGCCAAATTACTGAACCCATTTACTCAATGTTAAACAGACTTGCACCTGTACTCTTAATTTTCCAGAATAGCGAATATATAACAAAAAGGTGTATGTCAACCCCCTAACACTCGATCGGGAATTCTAAAGATAGCTGTTCTTTTTAACATTTTCGTAATTTTGCCCTTGAATTTTGATGCTTTAGCTAAAAAGACAGAAAACGTATGTTAACCGGACTGAGTCCAAGAGCAGGCTACGGTGCTCAGCGAGAGCATAAAAAAAAGAAGTTTTCTGGTACGATTTTCCTTTTTGTAAATTCTTAGATTTATCATCCCCTTCTACGGATGCGAGTCATTGTGTAAATAAATGTAATTCATATACCAGTCTTAGTTAAATTTTGCATGATCAATGCCTTCTTTAATTTACATACGAGTGTCACACTGTTTTCGCGGAATAGAAGTCTCTCATTAATATTACTTCTCTTTATGGAACACTAGTATCATTTTTTAAAACTGAAAGTGCTGCATAACGTCAAGTTATTTGAATAATGCACACACGAGGTTTAGTAATTTCGTAGTTAATGAATAAGTTATTAAAGTCGCAAACAGTTTCATACTTAATGCTAATGAAAAATGCATTAGCTGATCATATGTCAGATCATATGTCTTTCTATCATTCCGTGCAAGCATATTTCACATTCTTAAAATTCACACGATAACTTTTCGTCAACAAATATCCACTCTGGAGTATCCACTCTAGTATCCACTCTAGAGTATTGAAATATAAGAAGTGCTGAATGCATTATCCAAACATACACGTTTACGCAAGCGTGCTTATATGGCCAATATTTATTGCCGGTCTTAGTATACTACTTCCTCTTACAAAAAAGGGTTTAAATTAGGGAAATATTTATACGACAGCATTTTTAAATTTAAAAAAA